GGGACGGCTATTATTATTATTTGCCGTGGCGCTCCGGGGCGACTTAGAGTTGATTGATGGTGCCATTTGACTTACAGGTGAGGAAAACCCGAAAAACCTCACCCACCATCATCGAGTCGGTACTGCATGGCGATTTTATAATCTGCATGTCATATCAACAGAAATTGAATTTCTATTAATACGGCACACATCAAATCCTAAATTGAACCATGCAATTTAATTAAAAATCCACATGGTCCGGTCTGGGATTCGAAGCCCAGCAGTCTCTGACTCGTAAACTTGCCTATAAATGAATATAAACGCGTTAGACCGCTACACCACCGTCCCGATAATAATAAGTCTACATTTAAAAACTTTTTTGCAAATAAATTTCCAAAACTTATTTTGCTCTGGATTTATTGTCCATGCCATATTGGGTGGCTTTAGCAAAAAATAAAAGATTTTATGAGATTTTTTAAAGAAGACGTTTTGAAGTAGTTACACGTTTTCGTCTCTCATTGTGTTACAATGCACAATCAGCTTGATCTTGTGTCACATTCATTTTTTTCTAATCTATAGGACATTGGCAAACTTTTTAGAAAGTGTTCTTTTGCAACGCGTATCAAAGAGTGCAGTAGATCAAAGTCACGCGCGAAAGTTTGAAAAATGATTTACTTAGTTCAAAAAAATATACATTACTTTAACAGATTAACGAGTTAATAACATGCTGGAATTAATTATTCTTAACTCGAATATGTATTTATTAAAAAACACTCTCCTGCAATATAAAATTTATAATTCACATCTCACTGTATACCTTTTAATTTCAAATATATTTTTTAATAAATACATTATAAAATTAATTTAAAATAATTGAGCGAAATTACTGTATGTAAAAAATTAAAGTGTACAGACATAAAACAAAATAAATTCAAATCAGTTATATACTGTTTATCACTTGTTAATAGTAGAAAAGGATATACATTTTTTTGGTGTCACCCTTTAGACAAAAAAGCTTTTAACGTATTTTTTTTATTGTAAGAAAAATAAATGTTCCTGCAGGTAAAAATTAAATATATTATTTCAGGCTGGTAACCGTGACCGGTTAACCGATTAACCGGTTCCGTAGGACCGTTAAAGAACGTAACCGGTTTAACCGTAACCCGTATAACCAGAACCGGATTAACCAGAACTGGTTTAACCGGAACTGGTTTATAACCGTAATTATATGTGTACCAGCCACATCAACTTCCAGTAAACGGGTGCAGGAAAACGTTAATAAGTTGATTTTTTTGCATCAAAACTCAATAATAAAAAAATAGGCAGTTTTGTTATTAGGTATTTGTTATTATTTCTTATTTTATATCCCAATTAATTATAATTTATTTTTGAATGTTTATTTTTACTTGAATATAGTTTATGTTTTTGTTTAGTTTTACCTACTTCCTACTTACCCGCCCAGTTGGAAGTGAGTGACTATGTCCTTTTTAAATTTTAAATAAAGATTGGCAAGAGTAAAATTGGTAGTATTTCTATTATTCTAATTTAATTTTTATTTAGTGAGTGCCTATTTTAAAAAAATCAAGCATGATAGTATAATGACCCCATTTCTATTGAAAACAAAGGATTTGGTGGATGTGTTTTGCCACGATTAAGCCGGTGATGGTTACAGTTAAACCAGTAACGGGTTTAACTGGTCACGGTTACGGTTAAACCGCCGAATCCGGTCGGTTTCGACTGGATAATCGGACCGGTTAACCGGATAATCGGACCGGTTAACCGGATAATCGGGCCGGTTAACCGGATAATCGGACCGGTTAACCGGATAATCGGACCGGTTAACCGGATAATCTGACCGGTCGACCGGATAATCGGACCGGTTAATCGTATATCCAGACCGCTTAACCGGATATTCGGACCGGTTATAATAATAGTAAAAATCCGGTTAAAACCGAAACCGGTCAAAATCAGTAGAACCGGTTAACCGCTTATCACGTCAGGAATTGACAGCCTTAATATTATTCCCTTTTAGCATTTTTATTTGTATTTCTTTTCGTTAGAAAGACATCTTTTTAGATTTTTTTTTTTTCAAAAATTGACTCGTCTGGAGTTGAACATTTACTTGTACTTACATAACTTTTCTTCTAGTAAAAAATAATTCGTATAATTGGTGTAGGTACTATGAAACCCTTGCATATTATCTATTGTCGATCTTCGTATTACAGAAATGATTTACGTAAAACAATAAGGTGTACAAATAAGGAAAATTTATTTATCCCTCGTAAAACATCAGTAAAATATAAACACCCCACAAAAATTATCGCATCACTAAAAATTTTGCAAAAGTTTGAATTATTTTTTATCTGAACCGTTTGATCGATTTGAATGTTCTTTTCTTTGGATGGTAGGTTGATTCCTGAAGATTAATAATCTCTATAATTCTGTATATAAAATTTAATTTTTGAATTAATACTGGGTGTTGCCATAATATAAGTTTTTTTATAGAAAATTTGTAACACCCTGTGGAGTGTACCAGTAATAACAGCATATTGCAATTACTAGCCGACTTTAGCCTCATCTTTTCGCAAAATGTTCCTTTTTGGTTCGTTTTATTATCTCTATTTTTAGAGGAAATATGCGAAGAAACATAACACTATAACAAGAATGTTTATTAAATCTTTAACAAAACAAAATTAATTTTAAAAGCCTAATTTAAAGTACAATAATTTTCAATACCGAGTGTTGCCTCCTCTCGCTGCAATTACAGCTTGCATTCGTCTTGGCGTCCCTTCAAACAGGTTGTGGATCTAGCCTTGATCCATATTGTTCCAAAACATAACCAATTTATTTTGAACCTCATCCAGTGTTCTACATGGAATACGATTTTGTTGAATTGCCCATCCTAAATGATCCCATACGTGTTCTATGGGGATTCATGTATGGACTGCGGGCTGGCCAATTCATTACAGTGACATTAACTTCATTTAGATAATCGATGACTATTCTGGCCGTGTGTGGTCGTGCATTATCTTGCATGAATATGAAGTTCTCACCAACGAAAGGGCCATATGGGATCACATGAGGTTCCAGAATATCCCGTATGTATCGATCGGCCGTCACCGTTCCTTGATTAACTACCACTAGCTCTGTGCGTCCATGGTAGGATATTCCGCCCCATACCATAGGCGAGTCGCCGCCAAAAATTTCCGTATGACGAAAGTTGACTTGAGAATAACGCTCACCTGGCCTTCGATAAACTGGCATACGTCTACCTAAGGAATATAGACAAAATCTGGATTCATCAGAAAATAGTACATTGGACCATTCTGCCAGACCCCATTCCACGTGCTCTTTAGCAAATTGTAACCTGGCAACCCTGTGCGCTCTAGTAAGAAGTGGACCTCTTGCTGGAACCATTGCTCTCAAATTATGTTCACGAAGGCGATTCCTGACAGTTTGTAAAGATAAGTTTACATTTCTAGCTGCTAGCAGGTTGTGTTGAAGCATTCGCGCAGTACAATGTCGAGTCCTTAAGGCCGTTACTCGTAAAAAACGATCATCTACACCTGTAGTAATTCTTCTACGTCCTTGACCTTCTCTCCTAGAATATTGCCCGGTTTCTCTATAGCGCCTTACAACTCTTGAAATGGTACTTTGTTGAACCCCAATTACGTTAGCAACGTATCTTTGACTTCGTCCATCTTCAATCAGAGTAATTACTTTTACGGCCTGTTCTTCAGATAAGTGTCGTTGAACGTTCATTGTAATCCAGTTTAGTACACAGTTTAAATGTAAGTATTGTAAGAAATCACAATGAAAAGTGTTGAAATGTACCGCAAAAATTTATATACCAGCAAACTGTCAATTTGAATTTGGATGACGTTACGTATAATGTTTCATTTGTCAAAGCCTACCTTTCAGTTTATTCAATATATGCATATAAACCTTTGTAAACTACCAATATGTGAGTCTGTAAAAAGAGACTGTGATAAAAAACTGTAAATCTCCTCTAAAAATAGAGATAATAAAACGAACCGAAAAGGAACATTTTACGAAAAGATGAGGCTAAAGTCGACTATTAATTGCAATACGCTGTTATTACTGGTACACCCCACAGGGTGTTACAAATTTTCTATCCAAAACCCTATATTATGGCAACACCCAGTATTCATTCAAAAAGTAAATTTTAAATATAGAATTATAGAGATTATTAATCTCCACGAATCAACCTATCATCCAAAAAGAAGAATATCCAAATCGATCAAACGGTTTAGAAAAAAAATAACTTCAAACTTTTGCTAACATTTTAGTGATGCGATAATTTGTGTGGGGTGTGTATAATAAATTGTTTTCATTCACAAATATTAATTTCTTTAAAATCTAACAGAGGCGCCACTTTCCACACGAAAAATCTTGCAATGTAAAGGTTTCGTAGTACCCCACTTTTAAAGTTTATTTTTGACTATATTTAATAGAAAAAAATTAGTACTTGTAGGTAAAGGTTAAATCTATGCTCCTCTGGAACCAATTTTTTAAAATTCAATTTAGTTTTTTCTAAAAAAAATTGAGAAAATGGGTAAAAAAAGTTGAGTTTTGTATTTATCTTTAGAAAAAACTATTTCAAATTTCGATAAAGTGTCTCCAGAGGAGCATAGATTTAACCTATACCTACAGGCAAATATTTTTTTTTCTTTCAGAATAAGTCAAAAATAAACTTTAAAAGTGGGGGTACTACGAAACCCTTGCATGCTCTGCTCTAAAGTCAAGTAAATACTCCTCTTAATGTCTGATAGCGTTTTTTTTTTCGCTTTATTTACCCTAAAATGTATCTTTACTCTTAAAATTCTATAAATATAAAGTAGGTACTGTTAGAGTAGTTAGATTTTATAGTTTTGTGGATACCTAAGTAGGTACTTACTTCGTGATTTTCGTTTATGTTTGTAGATAAGTTTGTATACGAGCGTAAAATTTTAAATAATCATATCCCGGTGTTTAAAATGCATAATTTTGCTTTAGTAAAAGTTCGCGCCCACTGATTTTCATTACCATAATAATAAATTCAGTTTTAAAAATTAAACTTGAACCGCTGATACTACTCGTTCATATGGCGACGACGTTCCAGAGGTCACATCATAGATTACTATACAAACAAGAGTCGTTGTAGACGAACTCAAACATCAGAGAGGTTAAGTAATCGTTTATTCGATTCTCTCTCTTAGTTAAAGTGCACTTGTAAACGGGGAAGGTAGATATATTATTTAATTCAAAATGAGTTTGGTCGGAATCTTAGGCAAGAAATACAAGTTGGAAAAAAGTGAAAACTTCGATGATTATATGAAAACATTAGGTAGGAGATATTTTCTATATTTTTATTATTAATACGTGGAGTTTCTCGTATTTTGCCGGCAAAGTACCTACCGGTTATTTCAAGCCAGCGGTTTCGTTATTCGGATAGGTAACTGTTAATCATGTTTGAATTTTGAAAATGTCAGGTGGAGACGTTAAATAAATAAATATTTATACAAAGGGTGAATCTGTGAAGCGATTCCCTTTTTCTTAAGTAGGTATTAATAATTGTATATACTCTATAGGTATATCTGTAATTCAACGTAATGTCACCAGCTGTGCCCCCTAATTCTTTTTTAATTAAACTCAAAAAAGTATGAAAAAAGTTTACAATTAACTCCTAGAATATATTATGATGTATAATGTTTTCCAAAATTAATAACTTTTTTACTCAATTAAATATTCGCATGCCGCTGGGACTCAATCACTATTTTATTAAAAAACAAAAACTTCTTTCTTTAAGGCCACATCAGACTTAAACTCTGCGTTTTCAATAATAAGTATCATCATTTTAAGTAATTTAATTATTTGTTTAAAGACTTATGCTTCTTCTACATTGTTGTTATTATTTAATAATGATAATTAAGTACAGTTTCGGAAAAAAAAAGGTTTCCCATAAAATATTGATACAAAGGCATTCAGTTTTTTATTCATTGTTAAAACCAGTGGCGGCTTGTGGTAATTTAAAATGGGTGTTCACTTTTTCCAATAATTTTATCATTTGTAAGTTCGGATCAAAACTTTGTACAAGAACCACTATCACCGTTTTTTTTATTATTTGAGTTTGTATTAAGTGTAGTTATTATTATCAACATCATACTGTTTTCAAGCACTACAACTATTAATAAATGAATATTTTAGTTAGTGTAATATTTGTTTTGTTTTTAATACGTTGAAAACCATCTATAAACATTATTAGTTAGTAAACTGACTTATCTTCATAATTTGAGATTATTTTTAAATATATATCAGGTTATGTAGAAAGCTTGACATTGATTTTTGTGTAAAAAATTTTACATGAAACTTTACCTACCATTTTTCAGTTTTTATTGTAAGTTTAATCATTTTCACAATTTGTCATAGATGTCAAATAAAAAATATATTTTTTAAATACCTTTTATTGGCAAATAAAATAAGAACTAAAATGTTTTAAATGTTTATTTTATAAGACCAGTCCATCACAATACATAATATTACACAGACACAAACTAGAATAAAGATATATAATGCCTGGTATTCTAAATTATTCTCTTCGCAGTTTAACATAGCCCCTTAACCTCCATTTTCAACCAGATTGTTTTCACAATCAATAGGCCTCAACTCCTTATAAAGCTTGATTTTTACTAAAAATTTATATATAACATTTACATATTTAATCAAATTTTTTTTATAATTAAAGGGCTTCTCCTTTTAAAGATTGATGTTTGCTAAAAATTTCAAGTTTATATCATTTTTCGTTTTTCAGTTGGGATTTTTTTTTTATATTTTAACCCCCCTTAACTCCCCAATATATTCATATTTTTTTCAGTATCAATAGGCTTTATCTTCTTATAAAACTTCATTTTTACTAAAAATTTCATGTTGATATCGCTTTTCGTTTTTAATTTAGGTTTTTTTTTAATTTCAACCCATCTTAACCCCCTATTTTTAATCAGATTTGTTAAAAATCAATAGGCTTTGTCCCCTTATAGAGCTTGAAATTTTCAAGTTAATATCTTTTCTCGTTTATGACTTATTGTGCAGACAAAAAACGTGACATCGGACAGACAGACAAAGTAAACCTATAATACTCTTCACAGAATACTGTACGAACAGTAGAAAAAAATGTATGAGGTAAAATAAACAATTTAAAAAGGTCAACAATAATATTCAACTTCTTTTATCAAAGGAAACTAAAAGTTTAAAATAGCAGCACATAATTGAACACAGAACACAGAAATCTGTGAATTAAACTAGTGAGATACATATCGTAAAATGTTATCACACGTAATTCTCCATATGACCCTTTCTAAGTGTATTTCACAGCACATTCCAAAGTATTCTTGCTCTCACTCTGTCCTATTCTCATGGTAGACTTTTGCATGTCCATGTTCCCTAAAAAATAATGTGTTTTAATAAATAACAGGATAATAGTATTTTGTCTAAATAGGTAAATCGGCTTCATCTGTATTTTCAAATAATTGTTTATTTGTAGATAGTATATTAATGTTTTAATATGTACTTATAGGATTGATTAGACAGAGCATGTAGATATGTGGGATGTGACTTGTTAAGTGCCTAATCAAAATCACAATTTATGTTTGATACTTATTTCGAGACTTTTTTCGAGACATTCTTTATTACCAACTGTAAACTAATTTACCAATAGCCTTATTTTTATTTAATACCTGTAGTGATTCAAATTACCATAACATCCAATATTTTTGAAAATATTAAATTATACAAACAAGGCAATAAAAAAATGTCATTAAAATAAAAAATTTCTGATTTTTATGCAACAAACGATCTTGGTTAGAGGGTAACACGATTGATAATTACAGGCAAACATAACTTTATATAGGTAAACTATTTAAATGTTCATACCATTTCTTAGGTAAAATTTCTCGAGTATAATAAATTAAATGGTTGGACCATTTTTCCGATTCAGACGTTTACAGTGAAAACCCATTTGTCTCTTTATCTTTATCAAATTTTTATTGTACATTTCCATTTGCATAATAATGCCAAGTAGTTACCTCATCAGAATAATAACATTTTTCCTTTTAGCGGGTTTTGTGGGAAAAAATTTTTACAAATTTTTTGCTTACTTCTTACTTCATAGTATTTACAATTGGGTACAAAATAGACCATTTTGAATTAGTCTTAGACACTGAAACAAAATATAAAACAAATTACAGTCGTAAAACTTTATTATAGGTAAACAACATAACCTCAAAAACTTTTTATTTACCTTGCCTTATAGAAGTTTTTCGGGAACAATCGTTAAATTGACATACATCCTTCCAATTTATTAAAATTGCAGTTCTCAATTAAACACATTTTTCTAATGATCACAAATAATAAAATAATCTCAATTTTATTAAAACCGTTTCATAATGACGAAAAACGAAATGACAGTTTGTTTTATTTGGTACAGTATTGCCAGAATATGTTTTTTGTTATGTACCAGATTTGTCAAAAAAAATCTACCAGATTCCTTAAATGTATCAGATTTTTCGAATTCTATTTGTAGTGACATCTAATTCATTGAAGGGGAAAAAAGGGGGTCTTTATTGATAACGAACCCAAACAAGGAACACTATATATTTTACACGTGAACACTGATGCACGCGGAGAATGTACTACATCTAATACAATTGTGAATTGTACTAGAGTGGCAACACTGTTTTGTCAACCTTGTTTGTGAGCGGCGCGCCAATTAATGTGTCATTTTGCAGTTTGAAGGATCTGTTGCCGTGTTGTCTTCTCTTTTTAGCTATATGCATTCGCCAAATCGTCTCACTCGTATTAGGCTCACTCATAATACGCCACAGACACAGTATACGGTGCCACAGAAGGCCAGAGGGCAATGATGTACCAAAAAATATAGATTAACACGTATGAAAATAAAAATATTAAATTTATATTTTTATGTTATTTATGTAATTTTAAAATGATGTGTTTTATGAAATTTAACTGGGTGTTTACTGGCATTTTTTGTTTTCACTGTATAACTCAGGAATGTAATTTTTTTCGACCACTGTAATGTTACACCGTTCCGTTCGTTCCCCAAAATGTTCATCTTTTTCCCATTTAAGATCCCCATTGGAATATAGCAAAGTTAGCACATGATAAAGAAACTGATATTAAATCATTATTAAATTGCATATAAAGATATAGAACAAAAAAATTAATGAATGTATTATTTATTTATGTACGAGAAGTGTATTTTAGTGATGTTTTGAAAAGCAATCAATTGTTAGCCATTGGGCCTTTATTTTTAAAAATATTAAAAACAGGTTTTTCTATTTGATGGCATTTAATAAAATATAGCTCAACTCCTTTTAAAACGGTCACATTTAGGTTTCCTTTTTTAAGAACAACTCTAATATTGTTTTTTAAATATTTTAAATGCATTTGGCGAGTTCGGCGTATTGCTTTTAACATTTTATACGTGCTGAATTTTTGTTTGTTAGGTAGTTAGAATAATTGAGTTTTTAAAGTATAATAAATTAAAAATCGTCCGAGAATCCGAAGCAAAATGAATAAAATAAGGGGTTGTAATTAACTGAACAGTATTTAATTCATTATGTACAGTATAATATTACAAACAGTCAGTAAAATATTGTAAAAAAACTCAGTACTTTTATAAAATATGATGAGTAAACATTAAATTTTGTAGCAGTAAAATTACTATTTGGCCTGTATTTCTATGTTCACTTTTGTGATTATAATGGTCAGTAAAAATTAATGAAATGTCAGTATGAATTAGCCGGTAATAATTCTACAAATGGTCAGTAAGAATTAATAAATGGCCAGTATGCAGCAGTCAGTAATAATTTTGAAAATGTGCATTAAATAAGTAGTATTATGTTTTTAGATCGAGTGTTTCATGATTTTGGGCTACCGGTTTGCAGCAAAGAAGAAACTGAAGATTTTGTTTTTTGTTTAAAACAATTAAGTCTGCCTGTCAGGATATATTTCAAAAATCAATTGCCCCAAAATACACTCGCGTATCAGGGACAACACTGATGATTTGTAATTGAGGTGGTGGGTGGGTTTGTGTGAATGCGTCTTGTTTGTTTTCATTTACTAGCAGTAGTATTTTATAAACCATAGAAGCAAATTTCACATACATGAACAAATAATATTAATGCCGTGACAACAAAAAGACGAAGCAAATACTTCTCGTAGGGTGGCGGCTTCGCCGCCACCAAAAAATTTCAATCCATACCTGGCTACGCCGACCGGCATAAACACCAACGGCCTGGACACAGCTCACCTACTCTGTCAAAAGGAGAC